ACGGATTAGTTTTACACATATTACAATAATACTTATATTAATTAAAAATCAATTCCACCTGTTTTGTGAATAATTATACATGAAGCATATAAATTTAAATTTTAATTCGACTGTTGCAGTTGATAGACGTCGAATTTTCTAATGAACTTACAAATCAGTAAAATTACGTGCACAAAAATTTTCATTAAAAAATGAAAAATGTCCTATATTTTCGAACTTCAATGTATAAAATGTAGATACATTTTTATTTTGTAAATACATATTTTAATACACAAGGCACCTCCACGAATAAGTATCACATTAATTTCAGGTAATTGAAATATTGGGATTTATGTTTTATGCAGTAATTTCTCAGAAGTTTACAATCTAAAATCACCTAACTTTTATGCAAATGAATTCTGCTCGGCGATGTAATGAACAAAACGAAATTCAAAACGGTATCACACGTTATCTAATTTGTACATCGTTATTTACTCAATGTTATTCTATATCACTGCTTTTAGAAAATTTTTCGGAAAATAAAATCATAACTATGTTATAAATATTTGAAACTAATAGTTTAATTATAAACCCCATTATGGAGGGGTGTATCAACTTAAAAAAAATCTAAAACACTATAATTTTTTTTAATTTTACGAATTTACTATGATTTTATAATTTTTTTTAAATTAATCACCAACAGCAGAATATAAGAATTAAGTATACATTAGCTATTTTAAATTTCTGAGGAAAATAGCACACTAAAAAATACCTGCTCGCATTTTCCTCAATAGAAAAGTTAGTTTCTTGAAGAAGATATAAATTCAAAAAAATCTTACAAATTATTAAAAAGTACTGTTTGTTATTTTTCTTAAGAAAATCACGCGGATTATATCTCCACGTCCTAATTAAGGCTGCTCTTAAAAAACATTACGGTGGAATTGCGTTCGAAATATTTCCTATTTACGTCGCGAAGAATAACAAAAACACGATGTTAAATAGGAGTTAATAGGCTGATCGGCCACGCCCCTAAATAGTCTGCAATCGTCCGACGCGTATATAGAAAATGCTGCAGCTCGTTCGCTATCGGCGTGTCTTGCTGTTCGTCTTTGATCGTATGCACACGTGACTAGATCCACAATAAAAAAAAGAGTTATCCGATTAGAAACCGTTCTGGCTCTTGAGAGAATACTGCCTAGAACCAGCACGAATTGCGTGACTCACTTAACAGTATCTGCGACACAAAATTCAGCGTGTTTTGATAAAAATACGTCCATGTTTTTAAACATTCACCGCGCAATCTGATACTATTGCGGCTTCTATCGATCCCTGTTTAAGCGTACAATCGAGACGGTACGTCTACTCATGAAATCCCACTTTAGTACGTGGTATTTCTTCAAATGATGATTGCAGCTTGTAGTGTACAATATTATCTATGGTGATGTAATTAACAAATAAACGAATGAGTCGAAGAAAATAATGTTGAAAAGAATCGAAGATATGATACTATTAATTGATTCTATACAAAATTCAGCTGGCTACCGTAGAACATGATTGATGCTAAAGCTGAGACTCCGTTGCAGATCCTGAACCAATTACGTCGATCCAGGCGATAAACATCAATGACACCAAGATTACGTTGACGTGGGACATACCACGCGGACAGTACGACGGATTCGAGGTCCAATACATAAACACAGACGGGAACTACATTCAGAACATCACTTCTGTGAACCTGATCACAATCTCCGATCTGAAACCCCACAGAAACTATACTTTCACGTTGATAGTACGTTCCGGCACGGCGTCGTCTTATCTCAGAGTCTCTAATCCGCTGAGTGCTAGCTTCACCACCAGCGAGTCCTATCCCGGCAGGGTGGAGAAGTTCCATCCCACGGACATCCAGCCGAGCGACATCAGCTTCGAATGGTCCCTGCCAAGCCAAGAGCAAAATGGCATCATCCGAAAATACACCATCACCTACGGACTGGAAGTAAGACTGGCCAGTTGTTACTAGCTGTTTTATGTATAGTGACTCCTGTTAATATTCTGACACTTCTCAAAACGCAATAACGTTTTTAGAACTGGACTAAACGACTTTTATTTTTTGTTAGATGATAGAGCGACCAGTCTACTTGACCATAACTAGAATGCTTTTTTTAAAATTTTGCTATTGCTGAGAATGACAGAAGAAAATAAGAAATCTCTCGTGTTTTAATCTTTTTATCTGAGCCTATCACGGAAATTTAAAAAATGTGTTTCGTAGGTCTCGGTAAGTTATATGCATGTTAAAAATTTCACCGAAATCGTTTGACCTTGGTATGAGCTGTAAACAAATCAAGATTGCAAGAATTGCAAGTTTGTCCCGATTTTTGACACTTTCGACTAATAAGTGCGAGAAATTTGCAGTTTTTTCAATCTTTTAACGCTTGTAACTTGACTTCGCGTCAACCGATTTCGCAAATTACCGAGATCTACAAAACGCATTTTTTAAATCTTCGTTACAGGCTCAGATGAAACAGTTAAAAGGCGAGAGTCTTTCATTTTGTTTCATTCCAAGTAATAGTAAAATTGTAACAAAGTAGTTTAGTCGTTGTCTACTATACTGATCCCCCTATCATCTAAAAAACAATTCAAATCGTTTATTCTAGTTTTAAAGAAGTTATTGCATTTTAAACAGTGTCCGAATATTAATGGGAGTCACTGTAGCTGTTAAAGATCGACGATCTCCAGAGATCCCAATCACTGCAATTAAAACGATTTGCTTATCATTCACAGGGTTCAGCGCACACTCAGATGCAGGACTTCAGACCGAACGAGTACCGCGGTGTCATCAAGTCCTTGATTCCGGGTAAAACGTACACCTTTCGGATCCAAGCACAAACGAAAATCGGTTTCGGGCCCGAGGCGGTTTGGAAGCAGAAAATGCCGATCCTGGCACCACCGAAGCCGCCGACGCAGGTGGTACCAACGGAGGTCTGCAGGAGCAGCATGACGATTCAAATCCGCTTCAGGAAAAACTACTTCAGCGAGCAGAACGGCGCGGTCACGTCGTATACGATTATCGTAGCCGAGGATGACAGCAAAAACGCGTCCGGCTTGGAAATGCCTAGTTGGAGGGACGTTCAGGCCTACAGTATTTGGCCACCATACCAGGTGAGATTCCTCGTAGAACTCACCGAGAAAAAAAAGGTCCCGGGAATGTTTACAATGTTTTCGGGACAGTCATCGCAATGTTTTCATCTTCGCCGATCAAGATCAAAATCGGTCACGCGCTATGCGTCATTCGCCAGTATCGCAATAGAAATGTGAAATAATTAATGCAGCGATTACGCCGAGTGACTCGTTAACTTGCAAGATCACGGGCGTAGAACAACGAAGAAACACATGCATTCGAGACCACGCATAAGCAATAGTTACGTTACGTGCGCTCTAGGACGCAACAGTTGGTCGTAGAACGCGCGTGTTACAAGTCAGACGCTTAGACGGTTACGTACGCGAGCCGAATCAAAGAATTAAAATCAGATATCGAATGTTATTATTACATAATTAGAATAGAATTAGAATCAGCGTTGTAAAATTTGCTAAGAGTAGTTTCCATTTGTATTTTCTGATAATCTGAAAAACAGAATTTTCAAGTGCTCAGAACATCCGCGACAGTTTTTAATATAATTTGATTGCTTCGACTCCGTCCTGAGATTTTCTTTCTGTTTTTCTGAATATGGTCATTAAGTTGGACCATGAATATCCTGCAGGACATGGTCGAAAAAGCTGGCAAGTTATTCACACAGGTATCGGATAGTTTCTTTTTTACTTTAAAACAGGTTTACTCGCGCTTCTTGTGATTAGATTCTAGCACCGGTGTATTTCAATGATTCGAAGCCGGTGGTTTGCATTTAGATAGTCTTAGTCTCATAGAAAAATAACAAGATGCAACAGAGTCCTGATACGTTTGACTGTATCATTTGTGCAGGTGATGGAACCTTACTATCCGTTTAAAAATGGCTCCGTCGAGGACTTCACGATCGGCAGTGAGAACTGTGACAACAAAATCGGATATTGCAATGGACCACTAAAATCTGGTTCGACTTATCGAGTGAAAGTGCGTGCGTTTACCGCGCCGGACAAATTCACGGACACGAGTTACAGCTTTCCGATTCAAACAGGTGAGAACAGTCATGTAACGTTGGTTGCTGGAGAGTTTGTTCACTTGAAGTCCTGTCAACGAATATTTAACATCTGTTTCGAAAATCTTGGACCGATATATCGTCCTCTTTGGAAATTTTTAAACATATAAATTTAAAGACTGATATTTGAAAGTGATCTACCTTTACGACCGGTTATTGATCTTTCGATTACATCTTTCATCATTCATTTGTCGTTTTACAACGGTATCAATCAAGCATTCTTGACTCAAAATATGTGAGATTTATTTCAATCTACATTGGAATATAAACCCCTCTTTTCCTTTATAAAAGAAAAACATTGTCTTAATGTAAGTGTAATTGCAATATTATTTCATCCATTTTATAACGTGGGAGACAAGAGAATGGCGTTTTTTACTCTTGCGTACAATTACGTTGTAACTCATACAAGAATGTTGTCAAATTCGTATTATTCCGTGTACATGTCTGTCCAAGGATTGCTGCTGGCAGGTAAGTCACGTGATTGTCTCTAGACTGCGGATTTTATGCATTTATTAGAAAAATGTGCAGATGGAATACAAAACAGTAAAAATGCAAGACTTTAAAAATGCTGTTACATTATTTTTGATTAAGACATATTAAGAAAGAAAACAAACTACAATTTTACTGTAATTTGTTGCAATTGAGGTAGACAATCTTTATTTCCCATAAATTTCCGCAGTCTAGTAATAACGTGTCAATACTGTAATTTAAGTAGATGATATTTATAACATTAAATTTAAACCTTACTGTACTTGTTTGCACAGATAAGGATAACACAGCCATAATAGTTGGGGTCATAGTCCCAATAGTATTCCTGTTGACCCTATTGGGTATTGGGCTGCTGGTGAGAAGACGAAGAAGCCAAGGTCGCAAAACGACCGAAACTAGAACAACCGATAATCTCTCCTTACCAGACAGCGTTATCGAGACTAGGTAAATATTAAACGTAATTGAAATTTTTAAAGAAGACCGAGAATAATTATTTCGACACCTTTTAAACAGTCGACCGATCAAAATCGAGGATTTCGCTGAGCATTACCGCACGATGTCCGCGGATTCGGATTTCCGTTTCTCAGAGGAATTCGAAGAATTGAAACACGTTGGAAGGGACCAGCCTTGCACAGCGGCGGATTTACCGTGCAACAGACCAAAGAATCGTTTTACAAACATTTTGCCCTATGATCACAGTAGATTTAAGCTCCAGCCTGTGGATGACGAAGAGGGTTCAGACTACATCAACGCCAATTACGTTCCAGTAAGTTCCACTGGTCTTTTATTTCGTGCCTTAGGCGAGCGCATTAATGTGTTATGGAAGCTGTTTGCTTTAACATGTTTTTAAAGTAGGCGAGGAAAAAGAATAAAGCAATTAGTAAGACGAATAGTTGTTACAACTATTTGCATTATTTGTGTATGTGGCTAATATCTTTATTTTACTGAAAATTTGAATGTGTTAGACTTCAGAAATCCGTTTTCATTGTTTGAAGCTAAATTAATAAATTCTCTAAATATAAGTAACATCTAAAACAAAAGTTTTGTATATTTTATAAAGTGTGATGAAATTGTTACTCGAAAAAATGATGATGTTTGTTGCATTTTGTTTATCTAGTGATATAAATAAATTAGATGTACAGAATTATAATTCCACAGAAGGAGCCTATTAATATTTCGTATACCTGATAAAATAATGAAAGGAACACCTTCAAGCTTGTTATAATATAATTTAGCTTTCTAAATAGTAAAAAGTTAAATGTTTTATAAAATTATGTTTATTATAGAAATTATTATGTTTCATGACAGGGCCATAATTCTCCAAGGGAGTTCATCGTTACTCAAGGTCCATTGCATTCGACTCGCGATGACTTCTGGAGAATGGTCTGGGAAAGCAATAGCAGAGCGATTGTGATGTTGACGAGGTGTATCGAGAAGGGTAGGGAAAAATGTGATCACTATTGGCCCACGGACACCTTGCCGGTTTATTACGGAGATATTTGCGTCACGATATTGAACGAAACACATTATCCAGACTGGAGTATAACGGAGTTTATGTTGTGCAGAGTAAGTACCATATGAAGTACAGAAACAATTAATGGTTAATTTATAATACGCTTAATGAATAGTAATATCGCATGTATAGGGATGTACAGAAGAAAATTTTGCATGGAAGTTTAATATAGTTGAATCATTAAGATTTTATTATCTTTTTACTTTTTCAATTATAATAACATGCCTAATTTATAAAATATCAAGGTTAATTATGCAATTATGCAATCACTGTTATGCTGATTGTAGACATAAATATTCAAACGTATAATTACGTATTTTATTTTTTATATGAATATAAATATTGTATGCATTAGAATAATGACAAATGGTGTTCTTTTTAAGTTGAACATTTACATTATTTCCGTTACTATTAAAGATAGAAAAAAGTTTCCGAAATGGATTTAAATACTAATAGATGGATGTAATACTAATAAATGATTCTGAATCAAATTTGTTACCAATTTAGTTATAAAAGCTTCTAATAGTTATTGGACCAAATCTGGCATAGCAGATTTGGCCGACAGAGTATAATATAAACCTGTCTATAACAATATTTTGGATTCAATGTTTCAAGATAAAAACGAAGTCATGATGTTTCTATCTAGGGAGACGTGAATAGGGTAATACAACACTTCCATTTTACAACGTGGCCGGACTTCGGTGTTCCAAGTCCACCTCAGACGCTGGCCAGATTCGTGCGAGCGTTTCGGGAAAAGGTTCGGTCCGACCAAAGACCGATAGTCGTGCACTGTAGCGCCGGTGTTGGTCGCAGCGGTACTTTCATCACGTTGGACAGAATCCTCCAGCAAATTCTGGTGTCCAAGCACGTTGACATTTTCGGGATTGTCTGGGCAATGAGGAAAGAGCGTGTCTGGATGGTCCAAACCGAGCAACAGTATATTTGTATACACCAATGTCTTCTGGCGGTCTTGGAGGGTCAAGACATGACTGGACCTCCTCGAGAGATTCATGATAATCAGGGATTCGAAGGTCAGTTTCACTTCTCGTGCTTTCTTTCTCAATTGTTTCTGCGTCATTTTGAAACAACGTTGCTTCGATTCAAGGAGTTAGATATATATCGCTAGACAAACGAATTGGCAGAATAAAATTTTGACTATGTAAACATCTGTGACTACGAAAAAAGTTAGGCTCAATGTACATTCTAATAATACATATAACAAAACATAGTAACATAAATAAATTCATGTCAAAAGTAGTGAAACTTGTTTCTTGACTCTTTCGTAAGAGGACTAAAGTATTGATGCATTCTAATAATAATGTTCATAAATACTTCAAAATTAAATAATTTATGTTAAAAATCTTTCAAAAATTTGACATGATTATTTCTTAAGAATTCAGTTCTTCGAATTGTTTGAATTAAAAAATGAAATTTCAGGCCTAAACATCTGCGCTTTTCTTTCTAGAAATTTTATTTTATTTTTTGAGAGACAGACTTTTTTTATTTTCGTGTTGTTAGAGTTGTGTCTAACTCTTTAAACTTCATTTTGTCTCTGTCAGACGTCTGTAAAAAAGAAAACTAATTCATATATGATTAACAGTGTACTAAGCTTGGGCTTAAACTATTTTAAACGTAACACAAAACGAGTTTTACCAATATACTTATGCATTCAACATTGTTTTGGCAATGAGTATATTACTACATACATTTGAATGTCAATGAGATGTTGAGCAAAAGAAATGTTAAAGTAAATATACGTTATTAAAAAATAACAATCAAATTACAACTTGAAATACTGTTTAATTTTAATTGAATTTTCCTTAATTAACCAAATCGTCCCATAATGAGTATTTTAGGTAGTTTACGCCCAGCAGATTATAGAACACAGTACTAATCATTTTTGTCTAATTTTAAGAACAATTTTGTTTATTCGAACATCTTTTATTTTAATGTCGTCTATTTTAATTTTCCTATTCGTATTTGTAATCGTGTTCGTTATAATCTCTCTTCACATAACAAAATTTCAGTGGCTATCCGTTCTAAATAAAATCTTTCTTTTCAAATAAATATACGAACAATTTAATCACGTTTCTCTTGTATCATTCTAAGGAGCGTATTTCCTCTTTGTTAATCACGTTGTACAGAAACTGAGGCTGTAGTGCATGAATTGGGTGGTACGATATTGTAGATAATTTCAACGAATAGAAACAAACCATTTCGAAGTGTTTACTTAATTTAAATAAATCGATACTCTGTTTGTCTAAAATTTTATGAATTATCCGTGCTGAACTAATATTGAGTAGAAATGTCAGTAACGGTTATTCTAATTAAGAAATACGAAACATGTGGTGATGGTGAGAATTAACGCTTGGACAATGGTTACTGTCTCTTTGACTTTAGTTTCCACAGTAACAAACGACTGCAGTATTCCTTCCCAATACAGTAAATTTTCTCAAATTGTCTTTCAGCTTTTAAATAAAAATTATTGTTGCCGATTATCAACAGCTATAAAAATGAGCCACAAGGCTCGAATAATCGTACCTCCTCTTCCCAAATTGTCCACTTTTTTTTAAAAAAGCTGAGGGACAATTGGAAAGAATTTACTGTATTTACAGCGAATTATTATCTAAGCGAATTATTATCTAACAGGTTCAACTTATAGTCGTAGTTATTGTATGTGTGCAACAACATGAAAAATGTAACATTTATTTATCGTAACACCAAAGAATTTATTAAAAAAATAATCAGTTAATTTCTATTAAAGTTATCACAAATAAGGAAGATGTAATTTGGTTTATTTAATTAAAAAGCATTTTAAATGTACATTCGGATTCAATTCTTTTTCTCCTAACAAGAAGTTTGCTATTAATTTCCAAAGAGTAAGAGATTCACAGAGCAGGATTATAGGAAGAGAATACTGTAGACAACACTAAAATTACTTCTAAACCTATTGTCACTTATGGAAATATCAAAACCAAAAGTGATACTATAGAGAGAAAAAATTTGATCTTATCAATAATATTCACTTGCTTAAAATTAGTTTTAATTAAACTGCGTATCATTATGCAAATTCCCATTTTCATACATCATTTTATAAGAATCAGAATTGAAAGAAATGGTGTTAGTTAGCTAGAAAATAGCTGATTAAAAATAAAGCAAAAATACTATTAATTCTTGTTAATTTATATATATATATTCTTACATTTTGGAATCCTGCACTTGCTATAAATGTATAAAGAATCGCAGTTTAGTTGCAATAATAGTTTCCTGAACTTCTGTAGTCAAATCGACTGATTTGAAGGCAAATAGGCATAGAAATTTTGTTTTAAATGGCCCAAAAAACAGAGCAAACGATGATTCTTGGTTTAGTATTCCATTGAAAAAGTGTGTCTACTAAATTATTGCACATCCACGCGTATACGAAATCACTTCCCTTTTTGCAACCTTGTACTCCCTTTGAATCCAGGCAAGAATCGAAGCTCGGTCGAAAACACAAAGAGTCCTGCTGAGGATGAGAAGGAAAGGTGACCTTCGAACTGTGAATCCTGTGGCGATGGTAATTTCTATCCTCGCTTTTTTCTGTAACGCATGAGGCATGTAACAACGTAACAATGATCGAAGCACGGTAGCACGAAACCAGTGACTTTCAGTTATTTTTTTTATTATACCCGTGAATATGTTAATTTTTCAACAGGAATTGTATATTCATAATGTGACAAACATTTCAATGATTAAATATTCGATGAATTTATGAAAATATATCTCTTGTATCAAGTAATTGTGTATTAAGTAATTAGTAAATTTAAAATAGATACTCTGAGATGTGTGTGTGAAAGCTTTATTAGAATACATTCAAATGTGAAAGTAATATCTGAACTAATAAGAATGACGTATATGTGTATCCAATATTTATTGTACATATTCATTTAGCATTTCGTTTAAAATTAATCTTATACGATTATAGTTACTAATTATATTTAATATCTAATCAAGTTTAATCAAATATCTTGTATTTTTAGAAATAATTATATTAATACACTGATACACCATGGCATTAATGATTCGAAAATTAAAATATTCGTTCTTCGACGAATATTTTGTTAATGATGTTTGTAAAAATTTAAAAAAGTTTTGTTCGAAAATTTCATATAATAATACGTATCTTGTGTCTATAACAAAAACATTTAGATCTGTGCTAATTACGATTACTTCTCTGGTAAAAATTAAGGAAACTCTATGTTTACTAACACTGCATAATTACGATACTAACATCGATTGCTTACTGTCGTTTTAGATAAAGCTTCTCGCTACTACTAACTTTATAATCACGAGAAATACCTGTTGTGTTATATTTACATGTTTGCGTTAAATCAAATAGCATGATTTTAATTTTATGTATATCCTCCTTCGGTTATGTCACACTTATGACCAAGTTTAAGTTTGAAAACCAGGTGAGCCATTTATTTTATTTACAAACAAGTGCAGAAGATCTATAATGAACAACAGAATATTTTATTTGTTACTGTACTTTCACCAAGTTTTTATC